TATTTTTTATTTTTTTAAAGATGACCGGTAAGGGGATCTTAACCCTTGGCTTGGTGTTGTCTGCACCGCACTCAGCCAGTGAGCGAACCGGCCATCCCTATATGGGATCCGAACCTGTGGCCTTGGTGTCTGTCCAACAGAAATCTAGGGTAAGCCACAAACACAAGCTACATATGTAATGTTTAATTTTCTAGTAGTCACATTAAAAAGAAGTAAAAAGAAACAGATTAAATTAATTTTGATCATATATTTTCCTTAACCCCCCAATTTATCAACAATATCATTTCAACATGTAATCAATATAACAATTATTACTGAAATATTTTATATTCCTTTGCCATCCAATTTATCAACAATATTATCATTTCAACATGTAATCAATATAACAATTATTACTGAAATATTTTATATTCCTTTGCCATACTAAGTGTTCAATGTGTATTTTATACATACAGCTCATCTGAATTCAGCGTGGCCACATGTCACATCCTCAGCAGCGCACATGGCCAGGGGCTACCGTATTGGACAGTGAGGATTAAGCTATTAGGGGCGGGAAGGATTGTGGCAGAAATTCTCACAGGTTTTAGCCCCTTCCCCAGCTTAGCCTATGGCCAGGCCAAGCCCCTGTGGTCCTCCCACTGCCCTACTTCCAGCTCACCTGGGGACACTGAGAGTGACAAGGAGACACCCGGAAACTAGACTACTCAGTGTGGGAGGTGCAGGGACAGCTGGGGACAGTGGCAGAGTTAGTAAGACAAACACTAGAGTGATGCTCTGTCCCCTCTCCCCAGTGTTGGATCCTAAATCGGGGGTGGGGGGAAGCCGAGGCATCCGTCAGGGTGGGGTCCAGTGATTCCTGTAGTGAAAAATGGCTTCGGGGGGAGGGAGGTTTGGTTTGATTTATTGGTTTTGTCTCTACAAGCCCCACATCTTCCCAGTCATGAGATTTTGGGGTCATAGAAAGGTGGCTGGTGAAATAAGCACAGCTGGTCTTCAGAAGCTTCCCACCACCTCCACCCACGCACTCCTGGCTTCCATGTTCCCAGACCCCCACTGCCCAGCACTGCAGGAACGGCAGCGCCTCCCCACGGCATGTGTCCCACCACACTGCCTCCCCAGGGCGGGTATCCAGAGCACACCTCACCAGCCGAAAGACCATTATGTTTCAGAGGTAGAGAAAGGGGGAAAGGCAGGGCCTTTTTCAAGCCCCTTAAGCACACCATGGCCTCAATAGGCTTGATCCTTTTAAGGAGTATGGAGAGGGAGAGGTGGAACTGGGAGGCCAGGAGGAATCGAGGGGGACCTGGCCCAGGGGCAAGAAGAAATTAAAGCAGAACCTTTCCTCCCCCTTGTGAAAGTTCCTCACCAGGCCCAGACCCCTGTGCCCAGCCAAGCACTGAGAGCCCGCAGAGCTGGCTCCCTTCAGGGCTCACCACTGACCGGCCAAGAGACCTCCCTGCTTCCTTAAGTATAAGAGAAGGTGGATAGAACTACTTCTAGGGCCATGAAGATTAAAGCAGATCACACCCCCAGCAGAGGGCCAGGATCCTTGCATACTTTTTTTTTGGCAGCTGGCCGGTACAGGAATCAAACCCTTGACCTTGGTGTTACAACACCGTGCTCTAACCGACCGAGCCTGCCCAGCTCTCCTTGCATACGCTTGAGCACCATAGCCAAGGCTGGTTTTCCTCTTACAATAGTTACTCTGATGACCAAGGGCCTTGGGTCAACCTAATGTTTTTAACTTTTTGACAGAAAGCATTTGCACCAGAGGCAGTGTGGCGACATGAGAAGCCCGGGTTCTAGAATCAAAGACTTTTGGTTCAGATCCTGGCTCTGCGGTGCAGTGACTATCCAACTTTGCGCAAGTTATTTCAGCCCTCTGTGCCTAGGCTTCCTCGTGGATAAAATGGGGATAATAGTGCCTATGCTAAAAGGTGCCAAGTTCAATAATCTTATGCTGAGAGAACGGAACTGAGGCCACCAGAGGAGGGAAAGGGGGAGAAGGAGGGGGGTTAGCAGGAAATTGGTAAAGGGCCACAAAAAATGATTACATTGTGTAATGCTAACATGCTAATAATATGCTAATTATCCTGATTCGATCATCACATATTGCACACAGGTACTGGTATTCAACCCAGTACCCCACAGACATGTACAATCAACCACACTTCAATTTTAAAAAAATGAAAAAAAGGGGCCGGCCCGGTGGCGCACTGCTATAGTGCGCTGCTTCGGAGCGCGGTAGCGCTCCTGCCGAGGGTTCGGATCCCACATACAGACCGGCCGCTCACTGGCTGAGCGAGGTGTGGGAGCAACACCGAGGGTTGCGATCCTGTTGCCGGTCCCAGTCTGGTACGGGCGCGACACTGAGGGTTGCGATCCGTTGCCGGTCACGAAAAAAAGACAAAAAGGAAATAAATAAATAAATTAATGAAAAAAATAAAATAACCTCATGCTGAAGTGCTTGGCACTGCCACCAGCACAGGGCAGGACCTAGTATGTGTTCATTCTAGTTAGTCGATTCTTCCCAGAAATGGCGTGAGGGAGGCAGAGCAGAATGTGTTCCCTCCACTTTCCAGAGGAGGCTCAGGGAGGAGAGGGGCCAGACTGTCCACTTCTTATGTAGCACATGCCAGCCCCCAAATGACTTATCTGTTAGCTGCCCCTCGCCATCCCCTTGACTCTAGAGTTTAAGTTCATGGTGTCTCCTTATTCCCTCTCCTGACATTTTGGAAAAAGGCATCTCAGTGAAATCTGTTTCCTCAACTTCCAAAGGCAAGGCTGGATTCCCCAGTAGCCAGGGTTCACATCACCTTGAGCACCCTAGAAGCGCAGGGTCTTCCTCGGCTCTGTGCAGGCCTCACTGCCCTATCCCAGCACTTTAGCATGGGGCACTGGGTTAGAATGAAGGAGAGGAGTGACCTGCCCAGGAACCAGGAGAGGGGCTTGAGGTTCCATCCCAGCACCTGTCACCGGTGGGCCTTGGGGCAGCCCTTCTTGTCTCTAGCGTTCACCTTTGAAATTAAATTTAGAGACTAAACATCCCTCTGGTTCTGATGTTATATGATTTTTAAGGGCACGCAAGAAGGAAAATAAATCCCCAAATATGCAACCTGCATGGTGTTGTTTATGCAGAAAAGGTTTCCCCCTCCTTCCTGTGAGCCTCCTCCACTAGCTCAGGGATGGACGAGGTGGGCTGAGGGGCTGTCATGCCAAGGGCCTGGGGGTCCTGGCTTCAGCTCAAGGTCTTCAGCTGGGTGAAGCCATGTCTACCGCACACTTTGCTGGGCACGCTGTCCCCTTTAATTCTCACAACAGCTCTGAGAAGGAGGTGCAGATCATCTTTATTTCAGCAGATGGGGAATATGAGGCACAAAAAAGTGTTGTGACTTGCCCCAAGTCACACAGTGGTTGATCAAGGGTGCTGGGCTCGGCTCAGGTCAGTGTGGCTCCAGAGCCTCTCTCTCTCTCTCTCCAGGACACCAAGCTGACCCCCATTCCTAGGCCCTAGATACATCTCAGAGTTGGGAAAGCAGATCAAAAATTCTATTGCTCTGTGACCTTCGAGTCCCACAGCAGCCTAGGGAACAGTTATAAGGACTTCAGTCCCTGAACGCAAGGCACACAGCCTTAAGTTGGTCTCCAAGTCCACCTGCTGTTTTCCTGGCTGAGATATGTGTCTTGTTAATTTCTGTAGTCGATGTCCTTCCTACCACTGCCCAGCCCACCATGGAGTCCACCACCAAGAAGAGAGTGTGCCGGCTTCCCAACCCTGTGACCCGGAAAGGTGAGTCCTCTGCCCCCTACACCATCTGAAAGGAGGTAGACATTCCCACTTTCCTGCTCCCTCCTGCCTCCCTCCTTCTTTCAGCAAGCATTTGCCAAGTGTTGACTCTGTAGCCTGTTTCCTCTGGCCTCGAGCTGGGGTCAGAAGGGACAGAATATGACAGCAACTCACAGTCTAGTGGGGCACAGACTCGCAAATCACCACAGGACAAAGCTTAATGGAGCCTACGTCCACCCAAACACTTGCACACATGTTCATAGCAGTATTATTTATAATAGCCCCAAAGTAGAAACACAAATATGGATTAACAAATGTGGGATACTCAATACGATGGAATATTATTTGGCCATAATAAAGCATGCCTACGTCCACCCAAACACTTGCACACATGTTCATAGCAGTATTATTTATAATAGCCCCAAAGTAGAAACACAAATATGGATTAACAAATGTGGGATACTCAATACGATGGAATATTATTTGGCCATAATAAAGCATGAAGTACTGATACATGCTACTACATGGATAAACCTTAGAAATATTACACACTAAAAGAAGCCAGCCACAAAAGACCATATATTGTATGATTCCATTGATTTGTAATGTCCAGAATATGACATTCTATAGAGACAAAAGTGGAGAGTTGGGGACAAGTGGGGAGTGACTCCTAATGGATACAGGGTCTCTTGGTGGGGGGATGAAATGTTCTAAAATTAGATTATGGTGAGGGGTGCACAACTTCGTGAATGTACTAAAAACCATGAAATTGTACACTTCAAACAGGTGGACTTTATAATATGTAAATTATATATCAATAAAGCTCTTAAAAAATCCAATCCAAAGGACCAGCATTTAAAATCTTTCCAGTTTTGGGCCGGCCCGGTGGCGCACTGGAGAGTGCGCCGCGCGGCGGCGCTCCCGCTGAGGGTTCGGATCCCATGTGGAGACCAGTTCCTGCTCACTGGCTGAGCGTGGTGCGGGCGCAACACCGAGGGGTTGCGATCCCGTTGCCGGTCCCCGGTGCGGGCACGACACCGAGGGTTGCAATCCCGTTACCGGTCAGTAAAAAAGGGAAAAAAAAAATTTTTTTCCAGTTTTGATCCTTAACAAAAGACCGAACACATGGTGTGTGCTTAACGTGTTTGTTAATGAATGAGCGGACTTGCCTCTCTGTGCCGTGAGCCCCACACACCTCAGCTGGAGTGCAGGTCCACCCACACACGAGCACGCACAAACAAACACATGCTTTCCTTGAACCCGTGAGCCCAAATGTGTTTCTGGAAAAATACTGCCCTCAACCCCCCCAAAAGTTACTGGTGACAAACAGAAAGTGCCATCTGCTGCTACCCATAGAACAAACCACAAGCAGTGCCACCAGGGCTGCCTCGTGCTCTTCGGGTTGCTTTGTCTTAAATACATAAAGTACCAGAAAGTGCCTTAGGAAGGGCACCTAGTGAGATCTAGGAGATGAGGGTGGGAAGCTGCCACGTGAGATCACAGTAAGAAGAAAATCAGAACCCATGAACAGAAGGGCAGAGTCTTAGGGAACATAAAGGTGGGGACAGAGTGACCTCAATTTATAAAGTATTATGCCCTGACGACTTCACCTGGAGAATTTCAGGCAGGCTGCAATGAAAAAGAATACAAAATGCAGAGACAACGGGGCCACTAAGATGAGGAGGCATAAATTGGTTCTGTGCTGTGTCTCTGGAGGCCTCGCAAACTCCACTGAACAAAGGGATACTCCCAATATGTGGTCCCCAACCCCAGTGATACAAGCAACCCGGCATGAAAGGGAGAAACCATCATCCTAGAGCTAAATTCTAGGAGAAATCTGCTCTGTTCAACCTCATGTAAGGACTGCTGAATGATAGTGAATTCAGTAGCACTTTTAGAAAGGATGGAAAAGGTCTTCAAATTTCTTGCATCATTTCTTATACCAACCCTCAGTAAAATCCCAAGACAAAATGCAAATCGAACAGTAGTAGGTTATTGAGAATAATCTGGGGCTGGCCCGTGGCTCACTTGGGAGAGCGTGGTGCTGACAACACCAACTCAAGGGTAAAGATCCCCTTACCGGTCATCTTCAAAAAAAAAAAAAAAAGAATACTCTGGAAGTGTGTGAAGGTGGCCAGATGGAGTCAGGGTGGAGGTTGCACCAGAGGAGGGAACATGAGGCAGCATAGCCTAGCGGTAAGTCAGCCAGGCCTAGGTCTGAATCCCAGTCTGCCGCTGCCTAGGCTGTGAAACTCTGGGTCAGTGATTCAGCCTCTCTGAACCTCAGTTTTCTCATCTGTAAAATACAGATGTTCTCCTGGCTAAAGGTGAGGCAGGATTAAAGAGATACTATATTCAAGACCCTCAGAGTTCTGTGGGGCATACACGCGGAGCTCAAAGCTGGTTATCATGAATGAAACCCACAAGGCTGCCATGGGTAGCAGCCTGTCCTCTAAGGCTTGGGGCTGTTTCTTGAGACATGGACTCAGGAGCAGTATGGTGAGATCCAAACTTCACGAGACCCTGAGGCCTGAGCAGGGTGAGGAAGGTCAGGCTGGGGGTGTCACCAGGGTGGCTCTGGCCGCTGTCTCCCCACCCAAGCAGACTTTTTTATGGACTTTATTAGAAGCAGCAGCTTTTCCAGGAGAAGTGACTGTCGCTGCATCACTGGCCTGCAGTTCAGTTATGACCACTCCTAGGGAAGCCTCCCGGACCCTGCCCCTCCTCAGAAGCAAGGGCCCTGTGACCTGCGCCCACCTCCATCACTTATTTAAAAAACTTTATCAGAGTAATTTGCGTGCTATAAAATTCACCCATTTAATGCACACAGATTCAATGATTTCTCGTAAATTTACTGAGGTGTGCAACTGTCATGACAATCTCATTTTAGAGCATTTCCTCACCCAAATAAGACCCCCTAGGCTTGTCTGCAGCTCGTGTCCATTCCCTCCCCAGCCCCTGGCAACCACCAATCTGCTTCTGTCCCCCCAGATTTGCCTCTTGTGGACATTTAATGTAAGTGGAATCACTCAATACATGGTCTTTCATGCTTGGCTCCTTTCTCTTAGCACCACGCTTTTGAGGTCCCTCCAGGTTGGGAGGACATTAGAGCCGTCCAGCCTCGACTTCTTCCCTTCCAGCGATGGCAGGCTCCTTCCCATGGAGAAGCCCACTCCATTCCCGCTGCGGCCTCTCATCCCTCAGGCTGCCCAGGTGGGGCTGGAGGGGCTTTAGAACTGGGAGGACCTGTGTCCACACCCAGGACCTGTGTCCACACCCCGGTCCTGCCTCTGTTTTTTTTTAAGGGTGACCTTGTGCATGTGATTTAACCTCTTTGAATCTTGTTTTTTCTGAACTGTAAAATGAGAGATTAAAATCGTGATAATAGCTTTCTTCCTTACAAGATGGAAGTTTGCAGTTATTACTGTACTTGGCACATTATATGTATTCAGTACGAATTCTCTCCTTTCCCTGACATCCAGAACTCTTTCTAATTTTTTTAACCTTGAGCCCAAATCTGCAGCCTTGCCCTTTCACCATGGGCTCTGCCCCTCAACTACTCACAGGGACCGGCCACACATGCTCAAGGGTTCCGGAGAAGGATCAGGGGCATTGATAATATAAACTCTGCTGTTTAAACAGCATACAGAATGAGCGGAGGAATCCATAGCCAACTCATAAAAGAAAAATCATATGAGTGGCCAATATATGAAAAGAGGATGAAGCTCATAAGAAATCAAGGAATTGACGTGAAATATTATTTTCCCCCCATTGGACTGCCAAAAACTAAAACACTTTGATGATATCAAGGGTTGGTAGGGTACACCGTTGGTGGGTGGGAATGGAAATCAGTGCTGGCTTTTTGGAATGCATTTGACAGTATCTATTATAACTTAAAAATGGACAGTCTGTGGTTTGGTAGTTCACATTTTCTGTATCTGCCTCAGGAAAGCACTTGCGTAAGGAAACATAACAGGATTTTCTCTGCAGAGTTATTTGTAAACCAACATGCCCACTGAGGGCTAAATAATCCATGGTACATCCATACTGCCAAATGGAAAAAAGAATGTGCTGACACGATTAAGTGAAGGAAAAAAAAGCAGTTGCAGAACAATTTTTACAGTATAATTCATTGTATTAAAAAAAATTTTTTGTGTCTATGGAAATTATGTGTGTGTAAATGCAAAGAGAAAGGTACCAAATTAATAATGGTGGTTACTTCTTTGAAGGAGCAAGGATGTCAAGGGACACTCTAACCATATATTTAAATCTTTTACAGTGAAAATATATTCAGCTATTTCTTGTGAAATTAAAATAAAAGTTTTAAAAATAGTAAAAATCCCACTACCAGGCATGAAAATTGCCTACCTCCTCTGAACATAAATAACTCCTGAGTTTAACTAATTTATTTTCAATTAGGATGTGGGACATGACATTTTATATATCAATGATGTTTGAAGTGCACACAAAAAAGACTAGAAGGAAATACACCGAAATGCAAATGGTGGTATTCCCTGGGAGGTGCGGCTTCTGGTTGATTTTTCCCGCCCTGTATTTATCTGCGTGTCTCAAATGCCCAGTGTTGAGCACAAGTCATGTGTGTCTTTTCCAGGTCCTCCTTGCAGCCCCCTCACCCTCGGCCTGCTGGTGGCCGGCACCCTGGTTCTGTTGGTGTCTCTGTGTGTGGCCATCCACCTGTACCGTGAGTTGTTCCCTCTTGGGTTGTCATGGTGCCAGTGTTTGCTATTTGAAGTGTCCCTGGGGGTACTGTCTTGTCCCGGGGAGCAGAGCAGATGACAGCCTGGTGGAACTACCTGTGGTAGTTCTGGAGGTGATTCTTGGCCTGAGGTTAGAGACTAGGGCTGGCCAGTTAGCTCAGTTGGTTAGAGCGCAGCCTTACAACCCCAAGGTCACACGTTCAGATCCCCGTACCAGCCCACATTGACTGGCGCCTTGCTTCTCTGTTCCAGGCCTGCGGAGGAGAGCCCAGCTTCACTTCATCAAACAGTAAGTGTGCAGGGCCTGGAGCAGTGGTTGAGAGGCTGCCCTGGTGTGGCTCTGGGTCCCTCTGCCCCGGCTGTAGCCCAGAGCCTCCAACTGCAGCCGAGAGCCAGAGCTAGACATAGCTTTCCAAAAAGCATAAACTGCATAAATGGATGGGAGATAGAGTTCAGGGACAGAGATCACATTCACAAACAAAAACACTGAGTTTTGCAAGGATGGGAAGAGCTAGCTCGTAGCTCTTCTGACGGTAGCAATCAACCTTCGCATGCATAGAATATGTACGGTATCCCAAACTTTTTCCCACCCATTCCTTCTTTCTTTTTTAAAATAAATTTTATTTTGTATATTTGAGGTTTACCACATGATAATATGGTATACATATAGATAGTAAGATGGTTTTATTCACCCTGGTCCTGCGTGAGATAGGAGGGTTATGACTCCAGTCTTACAGATCAGTAGAGAGACTGCTGGAATCAGATTTGAAGGCAGGTTGATTCACACTACGGCCAGCCTTCTCCACCAGCAGTTGCTTCCTTTCCCAGGAGCTGTCGTCGTCCCACCCGCCATCCACAACCCCACCTGGGTCCCAGGAGTTAGCAAACCCACAGGCTGGGGTGCATAGCACAGGGGCCAAGAAGCACTATCTAGCCCCACTGAGCCGGCCAAGCACAGGCAGAAGCCCAGATGAGTTCAGAGGCAAGAGTTCAGCCCAGGCCAGAGGCAGTGTTCTTGGATTTGATTTTTCTTCCTCACAGAGGCTGTCAGAGGCAAGAGTTCAGCCCAGGCCAGAGGCAGTGTTCTTGGATTTGATTTTTCTTCCTCAAAATAGTGACTGTTTTACATCTGTCTACCTTACTAATTACATTTGACTCCAGAACAACCCCCTTCATATAGAAGTATTTGGAGGGAGGGAATTCACTCCTGTAAGTTGAAGAGGTCAACAGGGCCTTGTGCTCAAGGGCTCTGGTTCCAGTGGGGGGCAGATCTGGGGTTGAATCCTGTCTGCCACTCACCAACCGTGTCACAGTAGGTGAGTCACTTCACCTCTCTGAGCCTCCGATTTCTCATCTGGAAAATGGGATAACAGTACCAGCCTCGTGGCTATTGTGAGGACTTACTAGTAATACCCATAAAGTGTTTAGCCCCTGGTCTCATAGAGTTGGAGCACAAGCTCATGTAACTTAAATAAATCCAACCAAGAAACAAAATGTATTTTTAATTACACTAAAACTGTAATTTCCATATAAACTCTCATTATTATACACATTATATTTATATAAGAAAGTTGCTTAAACATGCATGGTATATTTTATGGGCAATTTCTAATGACAATTTTGATTGTGTGCAATTTCCACCTTACATGTCGGGTGTACTCCCTACCTAAGAGATAATAACTTGAGCACATCTGTCTAAGCCTAGACCTCCAGAAAGTTGCCTTCAAAGTCTTCCCCATGGTGACCTTTTATGAAGAATGAATCCCCCTCTGGGTATTTCCTGTGGCCTGTCCCCACCCACCCCTTCATTTTAAATAGTTCTCCAGCAATCTGATGCCAGTTTGGAGGAGCTAGTTGCAGAACCTCATTCTTTAGCAAACCCAGGGATTCTGGGGATCAGCTGACGCAAAAAGGGACCTCAGGGGTGGTCATGGGGGGACTGAACCCCTCTCACCCTCTTTATTCCAAACAACTCTACTCTCATCTGCTGTCTGGGTTTACACTTACCTGTAAGATGTTATTTGAATAAAGGGTTGGTGGCTTAAAAAAGGTTCGAAAACCACCCTGGCTTTGCTATCATGATCCAGGTGCGGATGAAATAGTCCATGGGCCTCACAGATTGGCTGTTCCAAACTCAAGATGCAATTTGAGGTAGCTGTTCACAGCCACTAACTGTCCTTAGGAAATCACCCCATCAGCAGGCCAATTTCTTCTGGCCCCTTAATATGCATTTGTGCATAGCTTATCTTGGAAGACACTGCAGGAAGTAACACTATGCAAAGATAGAGTGCTTTGGTCTGCATTTTTTTTTGAGCCATTTAATTTTTTTTTAATGACTGAGATGGGCCCTAAAAACATACTAATACAAAACTCGTGGCCCCAGGCTCTTTGGAGTAGAGCCCGGCCTCTTTATCTGCCATTCCCCTCTGTTACAGGAAATTCAATATCTTTTGCCTGAAAATAAGTGGTTTCACAACTTGCTGTTGTTTTCAGGTTTTACAAATGAGCACAGAATATGCTTTGGTGTCCTGCTACAAAAAGACATTGGTCAGTAATGAGCAAGATCTAGAAAAATGAGAGAGAAGGAACACATTCAACCATGGAGATTTCAATGACCTGCGAAGTCGCCTGCTTTTAACTGCTGCAAGTTTTTTCTGTGGGCCTCATTCCTGGGAGCAACTTGTTAGGTGGTCATCGGGACTCTTAGAGAGAAGCCTTCAGAGCCCCAAGGGCACTCACAGAGTGTGCTGGAGAACTGAGTAAGAAATGCTGCCCATGACACCACTTCCAGCTCCTGGGCTCTCCCTGGGCTGGGACCTTTGGTGGTGGCCCTCCAGCCACCATCTTTGCAAGTTGCTTTGCTCTGGTAGGGCAGAGTGATACTGGGCCCTGGGTCTTTCGTGGATGGTGCTGGATGGCTCCCCCTTGGTCTCCCCAGGCGGGACTGACCTTCGTTGCAGCAAGAGGCCAGATCCAGATTGGGAATGAGGCTTCATGAGAGGGGCTGCCCAGCTCCCATCAGCTCTGTCAGTCTCTGAGGCCTTCCTTTGGGGCTGGGAACCCGTGGATTTGGAGGAAGAAGTTCACTTCTTCTTCCATTAGGAAGTTTCTCAGCTTTCACTTCTACTGTCCCTTGGCTTGTATATTTCTTCTCTAACTTTCTGTTCTCTCTATGCAAATGCCTTGGTTGTAAAAATAAAGTTGTGGGTTAAAGATGCAAATGGCTCTTGTGACATAAAAACACATTAGCCCATCTGTAGCAACGATGCTGTTGCTCAATGGAAAAGAAATAACGAGGACAACATTTGTACATCCTCATCTTGTGTCTGACATCCTCATTTACCCCGCAGTGTGTCCAGCCCACGTTGCAGGTGTAGAGAAGACTAGAGAGGTTGGAAAGCACCCAAGGTGCCCAGGGCACCCAGAGCCAACCCTCGGGTGCCTCGAGGCTGTCTCCTCCCAGCCCACTCCCAGGTGCCTTCACTAGCACTTGCTCATTTCTACTGAGGGTTGAACCCCAGGGATTCATGGCCTCAAGGCAGCCTTACACCAAAGAGAAGGCAGAGGCATCCAGGTCTCTCTCATGTGTCCATTCGTTCTTTATTCACTCTCAGCCTTGATGCTCAGACAAGGAAAGTGTGAGGAGAAAACGCTGAGCTGGAGGGGGAAGCAGAAAGGAGGACCTTGTGCCTTTTGGAAAAGTCCCTGGGTCTCAGCCCCCGACCCTGGGCTTTAGCAGCTTAGGAGCTATTGAGCCAAAAGAGAAAGCAACCTGAGGCTACATTCACAGGAGCACCATGGCCAGGTCAGAAGAGAATCAAGTCACACCTGCTTTTCCTGGCCAGCTCAGGGCAGAGAGATGTAATTTAAGAAGGGCAACCGAGTTATGTTCAGAGGCCTCAGAATGTGAAAAATGTTACAGAAAATGGGAAAGGAAAAGCAACTCAGGAGAGGGGGTAGTGTGCCCATCTCCTGGGATCTGAAAAGCGGCTGTAGCAGAACTGGGTGTGGTGGGCAGGAGCTAGCAAAAGTTTCTGCCCATTAGCTCTGAGGACAAGGGACAGGCTGCCTTTCAAGGTTGAGGGGACGAGGGAAAAGGGTTGACGCTGGCTGGACCAGACTCCAGGTGCATTTTAAAGGTGAACTCTTTGCTTGGGCCAACCCATGTAAATGTTAAGAAACTGTGGTCCTGACTGCATGCAGCCTGCCCTTCCTGAAGGCTCACACCCAGTCCGCAGCGGAAGTAAAAACAGGCCTCAAGGCCCTGAGTCCCACTGCCAGCTCTGATATTTGGCAACGTCTCCCTGCTGCTGTTTTGCAATTGCATTTACTTGTTTGCAAGTTCATGTGGGGCTGGGTTGGGGGCAGGGTTGGTTTGTGCTCCTCGGTCTGTTCTCTGTGCAGCAGGCACCTGCCAAGCAAGGTGGGCTCAGCTCTGACCGCCCAGAAAGCCAGAGCAGCGCTGCGGTGAGGAGGTCTGCTCCTAGCACCTGACTTTTGTTTTGCAGAGAGAACTGAGCTGTTACTACATTCTGTAGGGCCATTATGACAAGGGGATCGTAACCTTAGGCTTGGCGTTGTCTGTACCATGCTCAGCCAGTGAGTGCGCTGGCCATCCTCATATAGGATCCGAACCCACGGCCTCCGCGCTATCAGCACCACACTCTCCCGAGTGAGCCACGGGGCCGCCCAAAAAATTTAATCTAGCTATCTTTTGACTAGCAATACCACTTGGCATTTATCTTAGAGAAACATGTCAAAAAGTGACATGCACAAAGAAGTATGCATCAAATCGTTCCTTACAGTGCTGCTTATTAGCCAAAAATTGGAGACAATCCAAATGTCCATCAAAAGGGACCAGATAAATTACAATACAGCCTTATATGCATGTGGCCACTATACATGCATGTATTTTAACAACATCTGTATTGATTATTCTCATTTTGATACAATACACGGTCATTGTTAAAATTCAAGCACAGATGAAAACAGGCAAAACAAATACACATTGTTAGAGGACAGAATATGGTTACCCTTGGTGTAGGGTGACTATTAGAAGGAAGCATGAGGATTGAGGCTTGGCATATTGTGCTTCTGGATCTAAAAGTGGTCATATGGGTGTGTTCAATTTGTAAAAATTCCACGAGCTGTACGTTCATAATATGTCAACTTTAATATATAGGTACGGAGATAGATATATATTATGCTTCAATAAGGAGATACTTTAAAAATCCAAGTACAGAACATTACAGAAATGTGTAAAATCGGTATTTGAAAGTTTCTTGTTCTTTTTTCTGCACATATTTTTTCTAAACATATAATTAAAATCTTATAGAATATAATATGTAACATATAGAATATATAAAATTGAAACTTTTAATATAGTTCTACAAATTTGATCTTTTTTTCTCTAATAATATATCAAGGCCTCTGGGTATATTTGTTTGTAGATGTATAGAAAAAGGTCTGCAAGGATTTACTCCAAGCTATTAATGGCAGTTACTTTGGGGAATTTCCATTTCTTCTTTGTACAGTTCTGAGTTGTGTGAAATTTTAGAACAATCATGTATGATTTTGTAATTGGGGGAAATACAATTAAAAGTCTGGAAAAAGAAACAACTTTCTGTAAAAAAGGGCTCTGGTAATTGTTATAGTAAAAGACTGGAATCCACTTAAATATGTATAAATGAGAGCTTTGTTCATAATTGTGATGAGTATGATGATTTAAAAATTCGTACCATGGAAATCACTGGAGGTGGCCAGACAGCACAGCCCAGCTCTTTACTAGTGTACAACCTTGGGGGAGCTACATAAGCTGCAAGCCTCGGTTCTCTCCTCTGAGACAGGAACATCACAAGCCTCTCCCTCTCTGCCTTGCTGTGGGCCTTCCGTGACCGTAGGCACGAGGGTCTGGGAGCAGCTCTGGTGTCCTCCCCTCCCTTCCTGTCAGCAGGAAGCAGCCTGCAGGTTCTCTCCTCTGAGACAGGAACATCACAAGCCTCTCCCTCTCTGCCTTGCTGTGGGCCTTCCGTGACCGTAGGCATGAGGGTCTGGGAGCAGCTCTGGTGTCCTCCCCTCCCTTCCTGTCAGCAGGAAGCAGCCTGCAGGTGCTGCGCCCACCAGAGTCTGTTCAAAGGAGGACAGGGGCTCCCACACCACCCGCTTTCCTTTCATCCTGACTCATCCCCGCCCCCACCCAGCAGCTTGTGTCTCTACCTGTAGGAAGTGGGCAACTTGTTTTCAGAAAGTGATCCCTGGCCCCGTGTGGGCTACAGAGCTGATCCGAATCTACCACCCAGTCAAAGGGAAAGAGAGAAAGAGCCCTGTCTGCAGAGGCATTTCCAGGCTGTGGAGGACAAAAGAGATTTCCTCTGTCACTTCTTGGGAAACCTCCTTCGACACGTCACTGACACTCCTCGGGAAACATGATTCACTGGTTCTTGGAGTCCTCCTGGCTACATAACTCGGTGCGTCAATTCAAACAGAAGGAAACCATCTTCCCCAGCCCACATCAGTGTGGCAGTCACAGAAATATGCATGACACCTGTGATTCTTACCATGCTGCAAGCAGAGGTGCTGAAAAAGGCCCTTCTATTCCTGCACAGTATTGATGGCTCTCCTGGACCATGTTTTTTCCCATTAATTTGCTGCCTTTCACAGGCAAGTACCCGTCTTAGAGCTTAGTTTAGACTTCTCAATTTGGAAGGGAACCAGCTCAATTTCTTTTCACACACTTTTCATTGTGGGCCCTGTCCCATTCTGTCTCTCATTTGTGGCTGCACTAATCACCCCACTCCCCTCTCTGCACTCAGTGCTCCCCCTCCTTACACTGTGACCAGCACAGACACAGCCAGGGCCCCAGGGTTCACAGTCTTGCTTACAGGCACTTACCAAATTAGGCCTCTAGGCCCCTAGCCGGGGGAACTCAGTTTCGTCCTTCTAGCCGGGGGAACAAGGCCTGTGGGAGCCTGCTGGCTTTTTTCTGCCACCTGTAGAGAGTGTCAACATTCCTAAGCCTTGAGAGCAGAATCTAAACAAATAAATGAAAGAGTGAAAGGCTCAGCTAGGAGGTCCCCAGTCTCACTGTGCTCCTCAAGGCTATGAGGATTCCTCTGTGTTTACTCTGCCCCTTAGAGAGCACGAGCTCAACAACTCAGATATGAATTGGGCCACATGTGTTCCAGGCACAAAGATGCGGCACAGACACTGTCCCTAACCCCACAGGCTTACATTATCATGAGGGGTCACAAAGACCCGGGGTCGGCACGTGCATGACTCCGAGAGTGAGTGGACTTCGTGCCTCACTCACCTCACCCTGCTGCTAGTCCCGGACAGATGACAAACGGGTGAACAGAGAAATCCCAGATGGCACTAACACAAGGCAGAAGGCCCGAACTGCCTTCCCACGAAAGCTGTGTTCCACTGAGGGGAGAGTTGGCGGCCTCTCACTGTGGATTTTGTGGCGGTCTTTGCGGTTGGGTGGGGACAAAGTTAAGAGGGGAAGATTTGAGGTGGCGTTGGCTGGGGGGTGGAGGCCCACCTTCCCCAACACACCCCTCCACAGCGCCCCTTCAGCATCCTGGGGACCTAAGGCTGTCTGCTGGGCAGGACCCACAAGCTGGGCAGGACCAGGCCTGGCAAAAGGGAGGCCATGACTCCTGTTCCTCCCCCTCACCTCGGCCTCAGCCACGTCTGGGGGACATGGGGAAGGGGTGACAGTAAACTCGACCAGCATTAAGGGTGGAGCCTCTGGCTGGGCCAGGGCAGAAGAAGATGGCATTTGAGTCATCCCTTTTTTCTATCCCAGCACCTACCCTGCAGTCACACAGGAGATTCTGGTTGGGAACAGGCAGGTTAGGTAACTCGCGCAAGACCAGCGGGCCGGGGTGGAAGTCCTTTTGTGAACCCTGCTCAAAGTCCAGCTCCCTGGAAACTCAGAATCCATGTGTGGTGGCTCATTTTGTGGTGTGGGGGGCCACAGGAGGTGCCAAGAAAGACTCTCTTGGCCCCTGATGGGGGCCAGTCCCCACTAACATTTCCCCACATCTTCCTCCGTCAGGAAGCCTGCCAGCCCCACCCAGCACGTAAAGGAGCTTATCGGTGGGAGAGGGATTAATGTGCAGAACTTCAGAGTGAGTGTGTCTGTGTGTGCTCCTGCATGTGGCAGGGGACGGTGTGCAGGAACGTTTGCCTTGTGAACTATTCCTGATCATTGCTACAC